TCCAGACTTTATGTTATTTTAAAGGTATATAATGCATTTATTTTCAGCCATAATTAATCTAAGTGATCACATTACCCACACAATTTTAACACTGCAGTTTCCTTCCTTTCTTCCTTCTTTTCCTCTCAATTTCCCTCTCCCGTACTCTTTTTTTTAATTTTTATTTTATATATTTTTTACATCATTGTTCATTTTTGTAGAATGTATGCATTTTCATCTTGGCAATCATTCCCTGCTCCCTCATTCTTTTCTTTTTTGCTCATAACATGGATTTTCATCCATGGTATATTTAACCACATATTGTTTTAAATGTTTTATGATGTACTTATGTAAATAGTTTTATAGAAAAGCATGGTGCTGTCACAAAACAGTAACCGTATATTAATGATAATGCATGATTTCACAATGAATTATATATGTCTACTGCACAGCACGCGTACACACACACACACACACACTTAAAATTTGGGTATTGTTTTATCCATGTTAGCAGCAGCACTATGCCACAGTATTAAACTACTTCTCAGAAGACTAATTACTCTGAAAGATTTCACTAATCTGTCTCTGTTGTTTTTCATCTTCAATAAAGTTGATTTTTTATGTAATTTTGTCAATGTCACATACAGAAAACAAATGTTTAGTTATTTTCATCTTTTCTATGTTTGTGCATAGTTCTTTCTGTTAGTACAGATACATTATTTCTACTGAGAATAAAATAAAACCTGACTTATATAATCTGTTCTCCTAAAAATTAAATCAGACAAAAAGTTATTGTTTCTAAGAGTACTGTGTACAAACAGGAAGATGGATGAGAATTTCCATGTATATATGAAAGAGTGCTTTTTTTTTTTTACTGTCAGTTGCAAAATATGCTGTTACCTATATTGTTATATTTCTTGGTATTTGCAGTTTGCAATGAAGTCTACTTTACATTTTGCTACTTTTCCAGTTTAAAAAAAAAAAAAACTCTTCTATCATAGTGGCAGTAAAATTTATGATTAATATTTCATAAAGAAAAGAATATTGCTGCAATATATTTTATAGGCTGAGTTCCTCTGAATGGTATATCAGAGGGTTACAGTGTTAAAACATCTACCCCTAGAAATATAATTCCTCCTACTATTTTTTTTTATGATGTTTTGGGCACTATATTCTCAAACCTTATGTCTCATCAAACTTTCTTTTTCATAATATCACAGGATGAGGATGTTTATTTCAGGTGTAGTCATAAGATTTTATGATTGCAAAGGTATATACTTACTGTTGTAATTCATCACAGAAGACAATGGTAATTCTTTTGTGTTGGGATTCCAAAATTCTAAATGTTTTTCTATTTAGGCCAGTTGTGTTTATTCATGATAGAAACATTGTAAAACAATGAGGAAATCCAAAATTTATGTTTCATACATTCTATACTAATCCCTTCCTTTTATTTCATTTTCCAATTCTTTCTATTTTCCTCCACTTGCATCTATGGAAATTTCAACATCCAGAATATAAGTCATGTGCATTGATGTGGAACCATGATCTGCTGTTTCCGGGAGCAATCACTGAGATGCTTCAGTCATTATTTTTAGGTATTTATGAAGACCAGCCCCAATTTGCTTAATTTGCTCTAAATTTGATGTATACTGCTGCTACTTGTTTCTCCACTACTTGTTTTATCTCTGGGGAATGTTCTCTATCCCTAAAGGAACAATCAGCATTATCATCAGTTAGTTTTAATTAACTTAACATATTTGAATGATGGTATGCTAGATGCTAGGAAAAATACTTTAAATAGATCTGTCTTTGCCTTCTAGCTACTTACATATTAACCATGATAGAATGAGTTGTTATTTTTAATTGGACAGTAATATAAAATTTTTCATGTAAAACTTCCTGAAAAATTAGCCAATTTAATTGTCTTCCTCCATGAAGTTTGCTTATAACACACATTGAAATGTGTGTTATATATGATCTAAAAATATCCAGAAAGGGCCTGCCTGGTGGTGCAAGGGGTTGGGCACATCACTGTGAAGCTATCCGAAGCCTCTGCAGCACAACTTTGATCCCCGGCCGGCCAGCAAGCTACCCACATGGCACAGCAGACCTCTCCTGTCTCGCCCTGCTGCTCCCCTTGGCAGTGTATTTCAATTAATCTGCCTGTTCTGTTTTCCACTCTGGTGAATCCTCTCACCCCTGCAACTTTGGTCTGTACCCCAGTTCTTGTATGCATAAATAAATAAATATTTTTAAAAAGTTTTAAAAAAATCCAGAAAATAGAAGAGTCCCATTCTGGATTCCCAAGAAGATGAAATGCCTTTGGCAGCTAATAACTGATAATGACAGCTATGCTGAAATATTCTCAACAAACAAAAACACTCTCTAGAATTCTAAACAATAATCTGATAAAGTCACTCTGTTACTGCGGTGTGGAATAAGACAAAGGCAAGTCTATTCCAGGACAGGTGTGAAACAAGAGAGACCAGTATACTCAGCAGCCAAAACAATTAGCATTATTCACTACTGCAGCTTCATAATAGCAAATGTAGTGCTGTTTTAATATTTGTGCTTTCTAGGTAAAAGCTACCAACATAGACATCATTGGATTGCCACCAATCCTGATATCATCTAATCCAGAAATCTCTTTAAAATATTTGGGAAAGCACATTCTATAACAAGTTTCTCCTAACTTGCTTACTTATACGCAGGGATTCACCTGGCATGGTTTCTCCTTCAAAAAACTAAATAAGCCTGGGCCTCCCCGGTGGCACAGCCGTTAGCGCTGGGTTGGGAAGCTGCCCGTAGACTCTGCAGCGCCAATTTGATCCCCGGCCACTGGCAAGGGTCCCACATGGCACGCAGACCTCTCCTGCCGCCCGCTGCTCCCCTCAGCAGTGTATTTGGTCAGTCTGCCTGTTCTGTTCTCCGCTCTGGCTCTGGTGAATTCTCTCACCCTCATGCGCTTCTGACTGTACCCAGTGCTTGTATAAATAAAGAAATAAATCTTTAAAAAAAAAAAAACTAAATAAGCCTAATTTTGCAGTACTAATGATAGGTTTCTGGTGACCTTTGGATGGTGATTCCAACTTTCCTTATGAATTAATTTCTATTATATTTTGAAAATTACAGTTAAATTAGTAATCAAATATTTTTAAATAGTTTTGCTTGAATCTGTATGTAAGTGAAAAAAATTTAAGTTAAGACTATTGGTTTGGGCTCTCTCAACATGTCAAATTATATAACATTCCATGTTTTGAAAGACATATTGATGAAATATCAATAAGAAGAAATAGAAAAGGGAAGGTACTGGAGACTGCATGTTAGTGCCCCCTCCTTTCTTCACATGTTGAAACCTAATCCTCAGTGATAGTTTTAGAAAGTTGGACTTTTGGAAAGTCAATTAGGATTAGTGCCCTTACAAACAAAATCCCAGAGAGCTCCCTTAGGCCATGTAACCATGTGTGGACATGGAGAAAAGACGTCCATTCATCCATCCATCCATGAGCCAAGACATAGGCTTTCACCAGACATTGAATGTACCTGCTCTACGTATCTGCAGAGCTATGAAAAACAAATGCCTACAATGAGTCATCCAGCCTTTTTATTATAGCAGTCAGAATTAACTAAAACAAAAGGCAACTGACTTTTATTGAAAGCCATGTACTTGACTTGAGTTGTGTAATTTGTACTAACTGGAATTACTTTTCTAGTTTATAGTCAAAGCTCAAAGAGTATCAGTAATGGTCCCAAACTCTCAATGTAGATAAATATTGAAATTTGGAAATAATTTCTGTTTTGGCTCTAATCTAATCTAATAATCAGCTTCAATGAAAACATGAGAATACCCAGATAAGAGATTTTTAAAATTATAAAAATTTAAGTAATAAATTAAAAATAATTAAAACATATGAACAATAATTTAAAATCATAATTATATTGCTCTCTTACATAATCTTATGCCCCAAATAATGTCTGTTATATAGCAGGCACTAAATAAGTTCTCATGGGATAAATTAATGAGAACATAATAAAATGAGACACATGAAGAAGAACAGTACTTAGAGTTAACTTTTTGGGATTTAATTAATTTTGCATCATGCACAAAATCTAAATTTAAGCTATACCTATATCGCAGACAATGAAAACAAACAAATACTTTCCTATAATTGAAGTTGTTCTGCTCTTTTCTGTTTTATCTTAATATGTTTCAGTTAATTCATTTTCATTTTGATAATTAATTCCAGATTACCTACTATACTTCAAGGACCTGGTTACCTATTAAAAAATGCCATTATTACAAGTCCACCATTGAAAGTTATGTGAGCTTGGCCAAGTGACTAAATCAACATAATTTTCAGTGTCTTTACCTGCAAATTGTGACTAAGGAGAGAAATTCCTCATCAGGCTATTGTTCTGACACTGTAACATGCAATCACACGAGAATAAGGTAATTCTAGCAAAGCATTTAACACTGCCCCTTGTCTATAGAAGTTATCCAATTAACATGATTTTATCATTTATAAATGATGAGGTTGGTTTAGAAAACAATGGATACATCCCTGCATTAATATAGACTTGGTATATCTCATTTAGAAGATTAAAAAAAATAGATTAACCTTAAAAGCACAGATGGGAAGCCACCTCTACATGTAAAAATATACAATAATAGTCTTCAAAGGCCTTCTCAGATTCCCAGACATCAAAGATTCTGCCAAAATTACCACTCTTTCACCATCACCAGCATGCATATAAATACATCAAATCTCTGACTTGAAGGTAATTAGGCATTTTAACCTTATGATATTGCCTGTATTATTTTTTCCGCCGTGTAGATGATATTCAGGCAAGGACTACTTTCTTTTGAAGGTGATCAATATTAATAAACGCAGTTTTAGTTCTTTGTTTAAGATTTGGCTCCATATTTGATGTAACCTCAGGTAATTTTGAAATTATTTTAAATGTAGAGGAAGGGATTGGGAGAGGAGATACAGGGCGAGGGAGTAGCGTTTACTTACAGTGAATTTCTAGCACCTGCATCGCCACCTGAGGGGTGGCATTGAGGGATTCATGGTCTACTTTGCAGATGACTGCCACGCCGTCATCGCTGCGGTCCACTCGGAAATCCAGCGTGCTGCTGACGGTGAACGTCTTGCGATTTGCATCTTCTTCTTTTAAATATTTTACATCTGAAAATAAAATGTAGCCTCTAAAATTATCTGACATTCTCTTTCAAAATGTAACAGGTTTTATTTACTTTCGACACATACTGGAAGCACCTCACAATTTTTATCAATTATTAATTAAATATTAATTTAACATTTAATTTATTTGTATTTGAGCAAGTAACAATTTGACTGAGTCTAAAAACCTTTCAAAAGTTATATATAGAAGTATAAAAAAAATCAGGGCACAATGTCTTTATTCCCTTAGTGCAAGAGGATTTTTACATTCTATTTGAAAAATCTGGTCATTTTACAATACTAGTCTCCCTTCTTAAGATTTAAGTTTTGCTAAAAGATAATTTTAATTCTCAACCACAAATATGGCTGCGAAGAGCAAATTCACAATTACCTGGTTATGTCAAAAGAAAGTACAATGTGCATGAACTATGATTTATAACATGAAAAAAGTAAGATGAACATTTAAACCACTAAAGATGAGAAGGTTGTCATCTTTGGTAAAGAAAAGGACAATGATCTGAATAGCTTGAAATTTTAAATATATATATTTGCAGTGAAATTTACATGGAGATAAATGCTTTTCACTTGGATGAGGATTCTATTTCAGCATGAATGAGAATACATTTCTCAAGATGTGAATTCTCTTATCAATATTTAAACTTATTGTGCATGATTCAGATTTAGCATTAAATAGTACACTTAGGGATTATTTGTTCCCTGTAGAAAAGAGGTTTAATAACATTTTCACTTAATTTGAAAATTTTCAAGTCTAAAGTAGCTGATAAAGAGAGCAATTTTAGTGGATTAGAAATCAAAATGATAGGCTAGGTTAAGATATCATTATAACAAGAGCTTCAATAGAGTTGAGGATAAAAACTATTTCATTTTCTTAAACTTTCACTTCAAATGAACAATGATATTTTCAGAAAAGAATCCCTTTGCATAAAACACATAAAGTATTTGATTTTACTGTGCATTAAATTATTTATTTTAAAAACATTTAAAAATATGTTATTGCAAGCTGACCATAGAATTGAGGCTTGCAGCAAAAGGGGGTGGGTTGGGAGGGAAGGACACAGGGGATTAGAGTAAATACATATCTTAGTAAAAGAACAAAGTGATAAGCCATAGTAGTCAAGAAAATGGAAAAAAACAAACAAACAAAATAATAGATCTGCACCGGGAAGAATAAAAATTATTTATTTATGTTTACTGCATCTAGTTCCCAACTTTTGGTCATTGATCTCCAGCTTTTGTGTTCTCATATATTCAGAGATTAGACTAACGACATCCCCACTTATTCAGGAGAATGATAAGATGATTTACAAAAGAGAACCACTACATAGAAAAATGATGGCCTATTGACAACTACCCCTAAATTATACACATCAACATGGAGTAAATCTACTTACTGGAATGAAAGAAATACTTTAACTGACTATTATTTTAATTAATTCAAAACAAACATTACAAATGGCTGATATATGAAACACTGTCCTGGATTCTGAGTACGAAAATCATAAAGAACTAAAAAAACTAAGAATGTCTCTAGAGAAAAGGGAGATATGAGGAAGAGAAAGACTTGAAGAAAAAAGAAAAAAATGGTAAAAAGAAGAAAGAGAGAATCAAACAAAAATTCTAAATTATCCTTTCTTTTATGAATGTGAATTATATTGAACCTTGTGAATATCCTAGTGGGTAATTAGAATTTTAAGATGATATGTTGCTCAGAAAACAAGATAACCTGTTGAAAGATAATCAACAAAACTATGGTAGTACATGGTACAGAGAAACATTGTAACATATTCCGGAAGCTAATTTTCAACACAGATGTTTTACTGATGCAAATGATTCATTTTCACAATAGAGATGAGAGACAGGTTGATTTTTCTTACATGTGCTGAATGCTACAGGATTCCACAAAATAAATTGTTGATGACTAGAAAATTGCATCATCATAGATGTTTCAAGGGAGTAACACTTGCCTACTGCTTATAGAGCTCTCAGAAATGAATATTTTTATTTCCTTCTGAGTTTACTATAGTGCATGGCCTTGAAAAAAATTCCTCTTTTATCATCTTTTGGGCCTGAACTAAAACTTTTTAAGGAAAGCATAGAAAAAACCTTTCCATCTTTACTGGAAAAAAGAAGCAATATAATCTACACAAATATAGTGACTACCCAGTCATCAGGCTGAGAGTCAGGTAATACTTTCTATATTTTTTCAATTAAATGATGTAATCTTTTTGATTCAGCCTAATGCACATAATATAAAACCTTCTTAGAAGAGGTTACAAGTGAAAGTTCATACCTTTGGTTAATGGCACTAAGGTTCACTAAACTTTCTCTTAAAAAATGCGAAGAGGTTATTTTAAGGTTCTCCTGACCATTGCCAAGTGAAAGAAACCAAGTGATAGAAGCATGAGAGCACCTACTTAAAAACATAAAGGTTATTCTCTGGGTATAAACAGTTCACTGATTGACGGGCTCGTAAGTTAGTGGGCCTATACAATAACTTGTTGGTCCCATAAAGACCAGTCTCCTCTTACTTATTTTCCAATATGAAATCTTGGCGATGGGGAATTAAAGGAGAAATATGATTTTACTGAGATTATTTTATAGTAGTACAGAGTTGGGTCATAAAGTTTGAAGTGTATTCTTTGTCTGTTATTAGATACCCATTATTCTTATATTGTCTTTCCTCATGGAGTAGACAATTCTCAAAGTGATTCTTCATTTTTTTAAAATTCATATTTCTTTTTCTTATTCCACCTGGATTTTTGCGCATTATCATCTCTGAGGTCACAGATTCAATGTTCATTTTGTACTATTCTACTTCCAGTTTTCTTCAGAATTTTTAATCTCCTCTATTAGTTTTTTTTACATTCTGCATCTCTATTATTTTCTTTTTTTAGGCTTAAGTTTTAATATTCTGTTGTTAATTTTATTTCTCAGGACATATATTCATTTTTCTGCACTTTCTTAGATATTTTTAAATAGCTTTCCTATGTTTTCTTTCTTTTCAATGAATATCTTTTTCATGGCAATTTTGAACTCTGTATCTGATAGGAAGAAATTATGTACCATGGCTTGTGGTTGGGTTCTAGAGATCTGTTCTCTCAGTTCCCAAGGGGTCAAGTTTTCATTTGTTGCAATTTTTTCCTTCTTCCCATTATTTTTATATATATATATAAATATATAGAGAGGTATATATTGAGGTATATATATGAGATATATATCTCATATATATACTTCATATATATATATATATATATATATATATATATATATATATAGCACTTTTCCAGTTTTCCGGTAGATGGTGCTGTGTGACAGAGAGAACAATTCTTTATCGGGGCTTTTTTTGGGTAGGGAAGGTCCCTATAGGGGCCCATTGCTAGTAAACTTAGTGAATATGGGTATGGCTTGTGCCTGTGTTACTGCTGCTAGCCCCCCTCTCTGAATTTCAGGCTCAGCTCTCTGCAGATTGTGGGCTGAGCTTTTAGTGGTCCCTGGCATATTTAAGTGTGACTTCACTGTATCTCCTCAGCACCCATATTGGCCTTTCCTTAGGGGAAGTAGGTGGGGGCAGTCACATCTTTCTGAGCTTTGTCTTCCTCACTGTCTTCCTGGCATGAGGCCCTGTTTACCTGGCTCACTCCAACACCTGTGTCCATAAATCTAATCTTCCATGATTAGATTCACAACAAGCAGTTTTGCCCTGCAGTTTTAGCGCAGAAGCTTCTCTTCCATACATACTTTTGTTTCCCCAGACTTGAGTTTCTTCGGTGTAACCTTTGTTGTACACATCAGCAATGCGCCCTGATGTCCAAGAGGCACCCCTTTTGCCCCACAGGAAGGGATTCTCCAGGTCCAGGGCACATCTGGATTTCTCCCAGTCATTCTCTTTGCAGGGGAGTATGGAGCTTCCACTAATGCCATCTTCCCTGAGTCTTTTCTCCCAAAATTTCTTAAACATTTCCACGTCAAGGTTCTTGTTTTCTCCATTTGGATCTTAACTCAAGCCCCATAGAATGTTGAGTAATTGGGAGTCATTGCAATACTAATAATTTATTACTAATTAAAATTGATTAGCCTTCTTTCAAATTGCTGTCTTTTTATCTGAGCATATGGGATCCTATGCCTCTGAATCACATACAGTGTTGTAAACTAATTTTACCTCAATTAAAAATACTTAATAAAATAATAAGAGTACAAAGTAATGTTACAGTAAAGATAGTAGAATGGCTAATGGGAAGTCATATTTGATCTCTGAAAAGGCAAAGTAATGCATGATATGGAGGGGATATTGTCTTCAGTGAGAAGGGATTTTAAAGTGAACTCTAACTTAACATACTCAGAGGTCAGCAGCAGTAACAAATGCGCCATGAGTATAGAGCACTGCATTTAACATATATGCATATATACTTGTAAAACTTAACTTTATACCATTTAGGAAGTTCACCATCTGGTTGTAAATACAAACTATACAAACATGCAAAAGAAAAGCTATCTACAAATAGCTATGTAGATAAATGTAATTATAGTGATAATAAATGTTCTATCAATGACCACACATTGGAGAGCACAGGAAAAACAGGATATTTTACTACTTGTGAATAGAGCATGAAACCACATCCATGCTGATTGCGTATATGATTTTGCCTTAATTTTTGTTTTGGTATTGATTCAGATGATTTTAAAATATGGTTTATAATATCAAAGTTTTTATGTTTTTATATATAGCTGAATATTCCACCCTACGTAATGTATGACTAAATTTGTTTGGCATTCAAAGCATGTGCTACGTTTGTCAAAATAATAAGACATTTTATAAAAATATGAGTATATTAAGGGTTTCTCATAGACTATAATATTAAAAAACAGTCAATCAATATTAATGAAATACATAATTTGTTAGTCTCTGACTTCCTTGATGATACAAGAGAAACAAGCACTTGAATCTCAGGTAAAATGCTAAGAAATTGAGAGGAACTAATTAACCAGCTAACTAAGTAATTACATCAGAATTAAGGAGTGGATTCATGTAAAAACACATTGAAGAGGAATACTTAAAAGAGCATCACACAGAAGGACATATGTGATGTATAAGAATTCACTGCCTGGTGCATCCTTTCAGGCCACAAGAAAGTATATTTTAAACTTATCCTTTAGGTTAGAGCTATACATCAGGTGTGCTTAAGCGGAAAATGTGGCTGGAAGAGATCCTTGTCATAGAAAGATAAGTCTGGAAACTATATAGAGGGTCCATTTAGGAAAGATCCTACCAATCCTAACATGCCCCAAAAAATATAACCTAAAGGCAGAATTAGAATGGATATTACTAAATCCTGGCAAGATATAAGCCCAGGTTATATAGTGAAAGTTTAATTTAGAATATCAAAATGACTAAGTTGTGTCTTGTGGGTTTATATTTCTCCAAATTTTGTTCAATAAAATATACTTACATGAAGTTCTGAAATAAAGGTAGTGATTGGGGATAAATTACAGACAAATTCCTGTTTCCAGGACAATATAAACTAAGAACAATTAAAATAGAAATGAGAATTCCCCTTTAAAAGAATGTGTGAGTGGTGTGTGTGTGTGTGTGTGTGTGTGTTGCATTCGATGCATGAAATAACAGAATGATGCATAAATTTAAAATTTTATGTACTTTTACAGATAAATGTTTTTACCCCTTGTTGAGAACATTAGGAATTTAATTTACTGATGTTTAGCCATTTTTATCTCAGAACATTGTAATTCCAGAAACCAGCCAGTTGAAGAAATAATTCAGAGCTTCTCTTTCTATAGCTTAAAATATCTTTAATGTATACTACAGATTATATATTATAGATAAGTTTTGAAGTGAAATCTAACATGCAGTATACACTATTGTTAAGTGTACAAATCTAAGTATTTTTCATATATTAATTCATTTCTAGTCTATCCCGTGAAGTATATATTATTTTTAGATCTATGTTGCATAGGAGAAAATAGAACTCACAGAGATTATACCATTAAAATTTCAGAAACTAAGAAGTGGGTAAATCTGTTTGAAATTACACATAAACAAGGTGACTGTGAATTGAAAAATAAAATGTCAAATGCCCCATATTTAAGATGTCATAATGGTTTCAACACATTGTTTTGATTTGTGGATATTTTTCCATTTTTTTACCTTTAATTTCCTTATCATTTTTGAACCATCTTATATCAGCTGCAGGTTTACTGCCAGATGTTTTACAAGTAAGCTGCATCAAGTCTCCCTCCATGACTGGTGATGAAAACCCGCTAATTTGAGGCTTCTCTGGAACACCTGAAATTTAAGCAAATGTATGAAGCAACCATGATTCTCAATGGTAAATTTATTCTTATGACTATTACTTTCACAAACAATACTAAACTAGGTGATTAACTGATAATAAATATAATAAAAAATAATTAACTACTACATAATAATAAACTGTTTAAGATACGTTTGTATCCAGAGAAAATTTAAAATGCATTTTGTTCAAAGTACTTGTCTAAATTAAACTTACCCCCAGAAATATACTTGAAAATCTAAAAAACAACAACTAACTATATTTTAAGATTTGCCAGGGGTTTAAGAAGGTAGATTGTTTGCTGGAAGGAAGAAGTCCACAAAGCACATTTTCTTGTTCTAGCAAATTATAAATTTAAGAAAAATGATACTTTTTATTCCTGATTTTACAATTCCTAAAGCGTAAAAATATGCATCTTACCTCCTGTGTACTTTGTTCAAGAAAAGGCATTTTGGAATAAAAGATTCTTCAATAATTGCAACTATACTAATTTTTTTAATTCAGATTAAGTAAAGAATGTCTCTAGATGTTGTTTCTATTAGAAATGCAATTGTAGTTTTGAGGAGCATGATAAGTATTATTTTTAATGCTAACCACTTATTATCCTTTCTAATCCAAATCATCAATAAATAAACAGATAAGTAATATGCAGAGACAGTACATTGGAAATTTAAATACTAGAAAATTACACATTTCTTGGGCAATAATATTTTGTTGTCATGGTAGAGAGTTATTAAAATGTCTTCAAAATTTTGCAGTAATAAGTATAGACTGAAAGTTCCTTGATTACACTATTTAATTCAGTTTGAAAAGAATAAAAAGCAAGAATATTGGAAAATACTAATGAAAGAAATATAAATTAAGCCAAGAACAAAATCAACAAAGATGAATGGCAGATCAACCTACTGTGAATTACTGGCTAGGTGTTTCGTTTTATTTTCTGTTCAACTTCACTCATTTTACTTCTTTAAAAAAAATTATGTCACACCATCACTAGTAAATTGAAATCAGCCAGCTGCCTATTTTTGGATTCTCAATGTGACTCTCCACAGAACAATACATTAACCTTAGGCAGCTGTTATCCTGAAATACTCCATTTTAGTGGGTATATTGTGTTCTTAATGGCAAATTTTTGAAGATTTTTATAAAATAGTCCCAGTGGGACTTGTGAAGAAACATATTTCATATCCTATGCACAAAACCAATTCACTAGCTGGATTAACTTTAATAGTCCCACCCCAAAGAACAGCAGCATGCATTAGTTCCCTTAAATGCAATGTTATGCTTTTATCTATCAAAAAAGGAAGGCAAGCCAGGGGCAAAAAAAGAATATGAAAAAAAATCAATCTTTAAATTCCTCTAACTTGTTCAGTACACAGGTGTGTTTCAATGAACTGCAGCAATTTCAGCTGATTGGGCTACTGACGTCTGTGGAATCACAGAGAGCTGTGAGCTGCAACTTTATTTCCTCAGAATATCTATGAATGTATTGCTTTTTGTGTCACTTTAACCTTTGGGAAAATGGCCCAATATTTAGAGAATAAAAGCATAAAGAAGGTACAAGCTGCATACACAAGTGACATTATGTATTTCATTTAGGAGTCTAGCAAACTACAGAGTTTAAAGGCAAGAAGACAGAAATGTCAGGGTCATTTAAATGGCACTAACATGCACACAGGGGTCATATTTAAAAGCCACAAGATTTTAGAGAAGGCTCCCATCAGGTGACTGATATAAAATGGAGGAGCACCCTATAGACTTATTGAAATCATTATGTTCATTATCCTATCACTTTTTATGAAAAGACCACCAGATGTAAAATATATAGATGATTTGATTTAGTTGAGAAACAAGAAATCTGCCGGCTAAGAAACAAGAGTTGTGTGATCTTGGGCAGTAATACAAAACTTTATACTCCCCTTTGTCTATTTATAAAATGGGGAAAGCAGGTGATGTTTTAAATACCTTTTGTGATAACATAAGAGAACGAAATAAACTACATCAATTAAGCTGATTCTCAAAATGTGTATTTGTTAGTGAATCATGTTGTGGTAGCAAATGCATCTTTCTGGGTTGTGATTACATAGTGTTAGTTCCTTGCACTTACCCAGAACAGTAAGATAGGCTTTGGAAGTTTTGACAGGCATTGTAAATAAAGAACAGGTGTATTGTCCTTCATCAGAAAGAGATACATCGCTGACGCTGATACTCAATTCATGCCAGGAAGCTCGAACCAGTTCAATTCTATTGTCCCTTAAAGCTGAAAGAGAAAATATTGAAAATGCAAATACTACCATTAGAAAAAGTCAACATTATTAGACAACAAATTTTTAACACAACACAATAAGCACTTTCTTTTGCCATATGTCTAAATCTTATTTCCTGAAATAGTTGAAAGGATGGTTTAAATATATTGAAGTATTTTATCAGGTGTGTTTAAATCAAAGTAGAATTAAATCATCCTTAATGTTTTCAAAAATAACTTTTTAATTAAATGATTACATTAAGTACAAAACTGGATGAGGTAGGTGTTTATGTTGATAAAAATGTCTGTTCTACACAAAGTTTTTCATGAGATGCTAGTGCCAAAAAAAACTACAAAAATATTTCACTTCTATAGACAGATAAATTGGGTAAGCTATGACTGCTATATTTCTTCCAAGAAAGGAACAATAAATATTAGCAAAGTCAAGGTTTTCTGCAGAAGAGAAACCTGTTGAACTTCATTTAAAGCAGGGCTGACATTCAGCTGAAAAGCACCTGGGAGGTACCAGGTATTAAAATTTTCTTTTATTAAATTTTCTACTGTACTGTGTTAAATAGTTATAATACAGTAACACATTCTTTGGTTCAAACCACAGTACCCTTGTTTTCACAGAAGATCGCTCCAAGTCTTGCTGATTCATAGTCTTTCTTACTCATTTTGAAGAAAGCCAAAAGTTTAAATATCATTATATACCACACTGAGTACAGATACAAACTGGAATTAAGCAAGAAGCAACTGAAAGAATACTTTGAAAGGCTGAAAGAGGAAGGAACACTGGCTAGAGACCTGAGGTCCTGAGTACGAACACAGTCACTCCCCAAGCAATAGTTGAAATCAGTGGAGGCCTAGTTTCTGTTGACCACAACCTAGAAACAGTAGGTGTTCTCCCCAGACTCATTTATATAGCATATCAAATGGGAGTCCTGTTAATAACATCAGGGGAAAAAATGGCAACCCAAGAGAACAATCAAATGGAAGTGTTGGTGACAAGTGGTCACAGAAACAATCTCTTTCCACACTGGACTGGCAACTTTGCTTCTCTACCTAGAAACAGTGATTGACGAGGCAGCATGGGCAGTGTGAAGATCCCTCTAATAATACTCAGTCCAAGAAGTGATCCTTCCTTGAGCTAGAGAATCACTTATCCCTCCTAAAGCCAACACACAGCCTGATCTTGGAAAGTTCCCCTCCACTCTTAGGTGGTACCAGTGGAGAGCACTGAAACCCCAACTGACAATATATAATTTAAGCTGACCAGATAGTATCAGAAATATTCTGATAGTTAAAGTGTTGGTATAACCACAACACACAAATGTAAAGTAGAACCTGTCTGCTAAAGCTAAAAAGATGGCTGCTACTAGAACAGAAAATGTAAATAGGATCTAGCGTCATCTCCTAACAAAATAGCCATAATGTCCATAATTGAAGGGGGAAAAAACTAAAACAAAAACAAAAAACAAATCCCAAACATACTGGTCATTCCAAATACAGGGAAAAATCATAACTTGAACAAGAAAAAAAATCAACTGTTTGTTGTTGAACGTCAGACCTGAAACATAAATTACATACAAGAAAACACGTGGTATGCTCCTTGACAGCAGTCTTGGAGATGTGAATCAGGACTCACCAACAACTCAATGACAAGGAAAGCAAAGAAAAAAATAAACAAATGGGACTATATCTATCTAAAAAGTTTCTGCACAGTGGAAGAATCTTACATCTAAGCAATCCTACTGAATGGTAGACAGTATTTGCATATAATAATTCCAACAAGAGGCTAATATTCAAAATATATCCAAAACATACAAAAAATTCATTAAATTCAACAATAAAAAACAACCTAATCAAATAATTGGCAGAGGATCTAAATAGACACTTCTCCAGAGAACATATATATAGATTTTCAATGGCCACATAAAAAGATAATTCATTTTACATTATTAGAGAAATACAAATAAAAATAATGAGATATTCCCTCAAATGCACGAGAACACAAAAGACAAGAAACAACAAATGCTAGAGAGGATGTAAAGAGATGGAAACCTTATACACTGCGTGTATATGTAAATTTACATTCGTAAGAATGTAAATTTGTAGAGCCATTATGGTAACCAGTATGTGGATTCCTCCAAAAAATTATAAATAGAAATTCTATATGATCCAGTTATCCCACTTCTGGGTATTTACCAAGAAAACACGAAGAAAAAAAAAACTGTTTAAAGGGATAAATATACATCAACATTTATTATATCATTACTTATAATGACCAAAAACTAGAATCTAGGTGCCCAGTAATCGATTAATGAATAAAAAAGATATCATACATAAAGTGGAATACTATTCAGGTATAAAAAGATAAAATCCTGTTATCTGCAATAACTTTAATGGACCTAGAGTATTATGTTTAGCAAAAATAGCCAGTCAGAGAAAGACAAACATTGTTATGTTTTCACTCACACATGGTATATACAGAAAACAAAGAAATGAACTAAACAAAACAGAAATAAAATTTTGGACTATAATTAGTGGTTACCAAAAGTGAAGATGGAAGTGGGTCAAAGTGGACAACGATATGAAGGATGGAACTATACTTTCAGCAGTGAACTTAATGTAATATATATATACATGTTGATTCTCAATGATGCACACTGAAAACTTATATGTTATAATGTCATGTTACTTCACTTTAAGAAATGGATTTCTAGAAGTCAAAAATACAATGCCCAAACTAAAAAAAAAAAATCACAGGGATGACTCAATAATGCTGAGGACATGGTGGAGGGCTGAATTAGTGACCTTAAAGACAAAGCAATAGAATTCACTCAATCTGAACAAAGGCAGAAATTGGATTTTATTTTATTTTTTAAATTAATTTATTTTTTAAATTTTATTTTTATATTCCCCATACAATTGCAACCCTTTATTTTGATCCCAATCCCTCCTTTCCCCACCCCTCCCCCCACAGAGTGTCTCTGGTCTATAGTTGTTTGTTGATTTTGATTTTTTCTTTCTTATAGTTATTCTTTTTCCTGGTCCCTTATTTAGGTTTTCTAGATTCCTGCTATGAGTGAGACCATTTGGTATTTTTCTTTTTCTTTCTGGCTTATTTCGCTGAGCATGATCCTTTCCAGCTCTATCTATGTTGCTGCAAATTGCATGAGTTTATCTTTTTGATTGCTGAGTAATATTCCATTGTGTATATTTATAAAAGAAAGAAAACTGATTAAAATCAGGGTAGCGAGGGAGGGAGAGAAAGAAGAGTGGAGGGGAGGAAGAGATGAAGGGAGGGAGGGAAGAGCCTCAGGACTGACAATAAAATACCCATCCTTGGCTCCATATGAAAAGGAGAATGGGACTGAAAGAATATTTGAAGACATAATGTTCGGAACTTTAAAATTGGCTAAAGAAATAAATGTACAGAATCCAGAGGATAAGCAAATGCCAACGGATTTCTCATTTGAAATCACAGACACCAGGGGGTCTGGCATGTTTTTCAAGTGTTGATAGAAATGAGTTCTTAACAATGAGTTCTTATCCATTGAAACTAATTTTCAGGAATCAAGGGAAAGAAATATATTTGTAAAAAAGAAAAACTAAGAACACTCATCTCTAGTAAATCTGTCTTAAAGAAAAAAAAAATCAATCAGAAAAGACTCATGAAACATCAGGAAAAAAAAGAACTGAAAAAAATGGGTAAATATAAGATAGATTATTTTTCTTATAATTTTCTTGATCATGTGATGGTTGAAATTAAAATTATAACATCAACTGATATTGTGTTCAGTGTATATAAAAGGAATACTTGAGAAAATATGGGCAGGGCAAAGGAAGCTAATGGAAATAGGATTTTATATACATTCCTGGAATTGGTAAAACAGTTACTAGTAGACTCTGCTGAATCACATATGCAGATTTCAATAGCAGACACAAACACTAAGATTATATAAAATAATGAACTCAAAAACTTTATAAAATAAGATGGAATTCATTTATATAGTGTCATGGAATAACAAAATTATGGAGATGGAGAAGAGAGAGTTGTTATCAAGGATTAAGAACAGTAAGGGGGGATGGGAGTGGGATAGATGCAGAAAGGGTTTAAAAGAATATCACAAGAGATCCTTCTGGAGATGCAACTATCTGTACCTTGATTGTGGTGATGGATGTCTGAATCTAAGAATTGTGAAATCCAATTAAGATTGGTGGACTCTACCCATGTCAATTTGCCATTTGTGATATCTTTGCAGGGTGTTATTGGGTAAAGGCTACATGCATACTTTCTGCATTATTTTTTTAAAATTGGGCATGAATCTGTGATAAAAAATAAATAAAAAATTCACATTTGATGAAGTAAGGGAAATGGTTAGGCCATCAAAGCTTAAAATTCATTGTACGCATTTGGCACAGAGTACAAGTAGAAATCCTAACTGTCACATATTCTTAAATTGCCTGCAACTTCCCTTATATGCTTTGTGAGAGAAATGAGTAATTATGAACATATAATACTCAGGTATATTCTAAATTTTCATGATTTTAAATATATTTTATTACCTCATGCTCCCATACACTTGAATAACACTTTAATGATGATAGTCCCTGTGCTCTCATTCTTTTTTAACTCTAATTTCTTAAGAGATATAGACTTGTGAAAATTTGAAGTTATTTTTATTGAATATAAAAAAATAAGACAAGCCTGAGTATGATTGTTTTCATGACTCCATTAGGATACAGCACACATTACAAAAAGATGTCTGTTTTATACTCTGTCTCCTTATATGCTTTTAATATATATGGCTTGTTCAGTTGCTAGAGGAAAACAGTGGGACACAGATTTGTTCTTTCCCGAATAGGAATTCATGCTATATCAACCACTTTTCGAAGCTATGATTTATTTTAAAACTTATTTATCACATATTGCTAAGATTTTTAGAAAAAGTGGTCACCAAAAGGAGGGAAAAAACCTCAGGCTCCTGCCATGATATTCTATGGGTACA